CGTCGCCCGCGGGGGTCGGCGGCCGGCCGAAGGCGTCCTTTCCCTCGCGGGATGGGAGGCGGCTTGCGGCAAGGGGGCTTTCGCTGCTAGGAAAACGAGAAATCACTCCTTTTTGTATTAAAAAGGAGTGTCATCGTGAAAATACCGGTCCCCCCCCTCCCCCCCACCGGCTGTAGAGATCGTGATGTTCTCCGGAACAATGAGCCTCAGCCCCGCACCTTTCCGCACCTTCTGCCGGGGTGAGGAGGCCCCTTTCTCAGCCTCCAGGGCTGTTTTAAGAACCGCTGAGAATGTGTCATTGTATTTGCAGATTTGACTTAAAGTAATCTTAGATTCCGGGTGCGAAATCTGTCACCGTTTTAGTCCTTGCAAGGTTTTCTGGTGGAAATTAATTGCGTTTATACCCAAAGACAGTACTGTGTTTCAGGTTACTCTAGTTCTGCTGCTGATCTTAATAAAGTACTGTAGTAGTCTCAGCTTAGATAAAAGTTTATTTTCCTTCCTGGAACAAAACATTGATTGCAAGAAACTAGAGAAAAGCAGATCCATGTTAATATGCACTCGTGCGCTATAGCCGCGTCTTGCGCAGATCATCTGCTCAGTGAAATGAAAGGCCTCAGTCGTGGAGGGCCCCTCCTTATTTTTTTCACTCTAGTAGTAAATCTTGTTATTTTTTAATCAGCAGAGCTGGATGTTTATAAAGCATTTATTTTGATAATTTCAAAACGGGAATTCCTAATAAACGTGCTTGTTCAAGAACTGATGTAGCTGCATAGTTAGCAAAGAGCTAGCTGTCCTTAACGCCTCATACGCTCTTCAAACAAATTCCAAAGAAATTCTCTAGCACTGAGGTGTACAGGAATTTTCTCTCAGTTACCAGTTGTAGGTAAATTTAAACTGTGCCATGACAGCATAGCTAGCAATATTAAAGGCTTGTTAACGTTTGGCATTATCTCTAAGGTTTGTTTCACAATAGAAGGCCTGCCTCTCCCAAAATTCCAACCAAAGTATTCAAGTTTTACAACATAATTAACTATAATTATATAGAATGGGATGTTTGCCCGATTACTTGACCAAAAATGGCTATAGTGGGTTTTTTGTTTGTTTGCTTTGGTTGGGGGGGGGGGAAATATTTTTATCTTTCTGTTTTCAGAGTTATGTTTTATCTTATACATAGCATATTGACATGCTTTAAGTTATTAGAATTGCAAGCTGAGAGTTGGTGGCAGCTGAGCTTTGAAATACATGTTGCATTTTGACTTTACAGTAGAACTGAATTTAGAGCATCCCCCCATACCCCATTTGTATGTTTGAGGGAAAAGCCTTTTCAAGAACAGTCAGGTTTTAGAACACCAAAGACAAATACTGTTTTTCACTGTCAGCCAGGCTCAGTAGGTCCACCTCTTGGTAGCATGACAAGCCCTAGAGATTACTTTTTTAGCACAAGTTGTGTTATAGGAATAAAAACTCTTATTCCTGTAAAGTCTTCACCCTAAAAAGAGCTTACATTTTAAGATTGAGGTACGTAGTAATAGTGAGCTTGTTAGATACAGAAATAATACTCTGAATACTCTTTCTAAATGGGAAAAAAAAATCCTCCAACAACAACAAAAGAACAGATTCCACCCCTGAAGATTTTCACAGATAGCCCCGTTGATTAATTCAGAAGTATTTGAGCAGTAGCTCAAGAATAATGCATTATAGTGTGAAAATATTAAGACAGTTATTTCAAACAGATTATTTTTGCAATGTTTGTTTTTTGTTTTTTGTTTTTTTTTTTTTGCTCTTACATGGTAATACTTAGATAGTAATACTCAAAACACTGTTGGGGGAAAAATCTGGCATCTGAAGTTTAATTTTCTAAATTTCTGCTCACTGTTCTGTCCTTCTAATTAAAAAAAAAAACCCAGCCTCCTTGAAAATCTTGTGTTATTTTTCCCGTGACCTGTCTATATAATGAAGTATTGTATCAATTTGATGATTAAATGGCCTCAGCCTTTTTGTAACAGTTTTCAACCGTAGAATTGTTTTACAGCATACTTGAAAAAAAACCCTACTTATTACTAAAATGATGAAAATCTGAATTGCTTGCACAAGTATTGCTTTTTTGGGGTGGGGTGCTTTTGTATGGAGGAGTGGGAACTTCTTTTTTCATGATTCTGAATTCAGTTTTCTTCCTTAACTCAGTAATAAATTTATATGTTATTAGCAAAGTCTAGTTTATAGAAATCTGAGCATTGATTTCTTAGTATTTTTTAAATTTTTTTAAGTAGAAAAAAATTTCAGGTATTTTGGAAGTAATGCAAATGAACCTTTCTTTTTAGCCTCTTCTGAAGCAGTCGCCCTGGAGCAATCAGAGTAGCGGCTGGAGCACAGGAAATATATCCTGGGGAGGAATGCATGGCAGAGACCATCGCAGAACTGGAAACATGGGAATTCCAGGAACTATGAACCAGATCTCTCCTTTGAAGAAGCCCTATTCTGGTAATGTCATAGCTCCTCCTAAATTTACTCGCTCCACTCCATCACTGACACCAAAATCGTGGATTGAAGATAATGTTTTCCGAACTGACAACAACAGTAATACTCTCCTTCCCTTACAGGTAAGGATATATGTAACTGGTGTATTCTTACAGAATCTTGCGTAGTATTTTGGCGTCATCTGTTTTAAAGAAGCATTATACAGTCAGTACTGTCCCATTGTTTTGTTTGAAAAGTGTGTATTTCTATATTAGTTGTAATCTTAAATTGCAACTCACCCCAGCATTTTCAACATATTCAACAATATACAATTGTTTTAGTTAATGAAGAATACCGACTGTCAAAAAAGATAGAAACTTTAGCAGCTGATACAGTGGTAGAGGAGTAAAATATGTTTAATCTAGCAAGTATTTTCCCCCACTCCCTAGGAAAACACGCATATGCTTCTAAATCCCTTTAAGCTCAGGATTTTGATGTTCACGTGTCCTTGTACAGAGGTTTTCTGACAAACTTTTCTAGACAGCTCTGAATCTTTGTCATCTTAGTCTTCTATTTGTATTCTAGTCTGACATTTGCATGTTAGTGAGATTTTTTTTTTTATTTCTTTTTTTTTTCTCCCTCGTCCCTCTAGCAGCTTTTGCATGTTATTCTTTGGCTGGAAGCCCTGTGATTTAGAAATATTAAACAGGAGAGGAAGTGTGGCTTAAAGCTAACGATCTGGGTTTAACTCCTCAATTTTGCTAGTGACTTCATATGTGACTTTAGGTAAGTCACTTAATTCTGGCCTCAGATGCCTATTCGTAAAATAGTATTTTTCCTACTCTGGCCTGTATTCATTTAGCCATATCACTTCTTGGTAGCAGAGACCTTCTTTATTTTGGATCCCCAAATCAGTTGCCATTCTATCAGTTTATGGTTTTAGCTTGCTTTGCTTTTTTTTTTTTTTTTTAAGTTCCAAAAATCCTAGACAATTTATTTAAGAAATGATGTATTTTAAAATTAATAGCAGATTATTCCATGAATTCTGTGCATTCTTTAATTTTGCTTATTCCTATGTCAGCTTCGTTTTTTTGTCTCACACTGAGCTACTGCATTACAGCAAAATTCAAAAAGATAACACAGAGGGAAAGTAATTACAATGATGCTTTATCTACACATATGGTATTATAGCTGCTTTGGTTAGGTTTCACACAGAGTAACCTAGAGTTTGATTTATCATAGTTGTCATAAACTCTGAACAGCTATATTTACATCAATAAGCAGGCTAATCCTAACGTGGCTGTGGCAAAAAAGCTACAATGGTGGCCAAAAGTGCTCTCTAGAACTATTTTTTCCACTGGTTTTCCTATTTTTCTTACCATTCTGTCAGTGGGGTTCCATTTGGCACAAGCGGCCATGTATCGACTCTGTCCAGGTGAGCTCTGATACTTGCAAGATTGCAAGATACTTGCAATATTCATGAGGCTTATGGTGATTTTGGATGTACCTGCATTCTGCTGCAAGTGTACACATCAGACCTGAAAAGTTACAGGGATTCACGTATTCTGTGAAGACCTTTTCTGTTAAGTAGCCTTGCTAACTGAAATATTGTTGCGTAATTTTTGCTTGGGCAGAAAGATGGGAAAAAAAGATGCCATTCTTTATGTATTCAACTTGATCTGTTAAAGAAAAGATTACAAATAGCTAATGCTTTGCAGTAGAGGGCTCCAAGAACAATTGAAAGTAAACACTGAGGCACCTTACAAAGATGTTAGCCTAAGGAACTGAGTTAAAGATATTAATGCCATCATACATTGAAACTGCAGTGACGTATACATCGGAATTCATATCCAACTAAGCACAAGTCTTGAATATATAAACTCATTCAATATGCTTTACAGGTCAGTATGACTATTCAAACTTTCAGAAGCTTCTACAGCGGTCATCTAGTGTAGATGAATTTGATTGCAGATCTAAACTAAACCTTTTGCATTGCAGCTGTATAGTAATCTATATCATTCCTACTTCAATATTAAGTAATATACAGTACAGTAGAAAAAATCCTTGAAATTCAGCTCTATAATAAATTACACTAATGTATGTGTTTTGGTTTTTGTTTTGTTTTTTTATGTCATAGGCAGATGGTGGACACACTTTTTTTTTTTTTAACTGATCTTGTCCATGAGCACCAGAGCAACCAGTTAAATAGACTTATTTGTCTAGCTGTATTTGTATTGTATTGTAGATCTACCAGTACTTAAATCTTCCTTGCATATATGATCTGATTAAGGACTTGCAGTATTATCTGCTGCCATTGTGGGAACACTACATTTCCATAAATTGTTTTGCTACACTGAATTTTGTGTTTTTATTTTTCAATTGCTATATTATCGTTATATGGTTAATTCCTTGTAATGACTGCTAAATTTTAGAAGTCATAATGAAGGAGGTTGAGATAGAGTTTAGAGCTCATGCTTCTTTTCATCAGGACTTATATTGGCAATTGCAATGCTGTCAAACAGCCATCCAGTTAATTCATACTGTGCTTTTCTCCTTCCATAAAAGGTTGAGGTATTTAGATTGAGGCTTCTTAAAGATACAGTAGCAATTTCAGAAGATATTCAAGAACACTGATGATTAATTTGAAAAGTCTTACATTAAAATATCTACATGTATGTAGAAGTTACCTTTCTATTTCAATCTTCCGCAGAGCGACCAAATCTTAGCATGCCTATTGACCACATAGTGCATCATTCACAGACTTGCAGAATTCTTTTCCACGTGATCGTGAATTATTGTTTTAAATGCAGTAATCACTTTGTATGGGATGAGACAAAGCACCTCTCCTCCAACCTTTAGCTAGCTGAAGCTTAGAAAGTGAAAACAACATAGAAAAGCCAGTGTCCTCACTGACTAGCTTTCTGCAGATCATTAATATTCTGCTAACCATTTCTGAAAATCAGGTATTTCTTGCAATGACTGAATGGCAAATCAGCAGGATCATCTACCCATCCAGTTACTCTAAAACATGTACCTGATGCAAACAAGATAAAACACACAGGCGTCATTTACAAATTCAAAGCTTATCTATCCATTTGCTGCTTTATCCTTGGTGTTTGCGTTGATGTCTGGTCCCCGATACAGAACAGACATTAATTCTGATGGAAGTAAATGTTGCTTGGTATTACGCTAATATACCAGTGACAGTAAATGCCATTGCTGATAACGTAATAAGTCATTATGTGGATTACTTTAAGGGATGAAAACAGCTTTTCTGTTCTTCACAGTTAAAACTGAAACATATTCCTTGTCAAGTTGCGTTCACAGTGGCCACATTAGTTACAGTAAAGCTGCTTTTGCTTTTATCAGTTATGAAGGAAATCTTTCAGAGGAATCTTCCGGAGTTCAAGAATTATTATTATTTTTTTTTTTGATAATAAAAAAAGAGAAACGTATCATAGCAATACTGACTTTGGGAGCAAAGTCAAGCCAGTAGTCAACTGTGTGAATATCAGTAAGAGGCTTTCTTCCCCCTTAGGTCTTTAAGATGACAAACTATATTGATTAAAGCTCTTTTGTAGACAAAATTGTATTTGCAATTTTAGCTCTGCCACACTGCTTGTAGCATTACAGGTACCTTCCTATGCTTGTACATTCCTTTAAGGAAAGATTATTGCTTTGTCCTGGAATCACTAAATCATGGCAGGTATTCACACCATCTAACTTAAGAATTTAATACAGGAGACTAGTTCTCTCTCCTTAGAGAGAATCTAGGCTCCTTATTTAGATAATCCAATTTTCTAGAAAAACATACCTGTCACCAGTGACCATACACAGCCCTTAGGATTCCAGTTTAGGCACTTAAATTGCATGTCAAGAAGTTAGACAATCTGAGTATTATTCTCTTCTATTCCCGATCTAAAGTACAAGAAAATGAGCATAAAGTGAAAAGATAAAAATACGTTTCTAATCCCAGATACGGATCTCTCCATTCATCCCAAAAAACATGCTTCAGGCATTTCCATGACCAAAACATAAAGCGTGGAAGTCAGTGTTTTATATATCCATGGTTTTTCCTCCTCCTTTTCGGGAGGAAAATAATTAACCATTTCTAATATATTTTTAAATTGCAATGTCTGATAAACCTATTTGAATTTTGATTGCAAGCTTAATGTTTCTTAATATCTTGCAAAGTAGTGTATTAAAAGCTACTGTAACACTTTAATAAAACAGTTCAGTGTTTAAGTGTATTTTCGTGCTAGTGAAAACACACTGCATTCTACTAAAACCAATACGAATTTAGTTTCTGTGTTGCTTTTGAGTTCAGGAAATACATTTCACATCCGGGTGTTTTTCACCTTGATTTGTCTTTCCTGTTTGTTCAAACAAACAGTACGTACAATGTCTGTGGTCCTAAAAGCTGAGCTTTAATATTCTGTATTGGAACCTAGCCCTCCAGCTGGGGATTTGGATAGGAAGGTATTAATCTCTTATAAATGCAGATTTTTCTATTTATTTTTGAAATGCACTAAAGTTTCCAAATCAAACAAAGCACTTCCAAAATGAAGTATGAGTTTTAATATTGTACTTCACAACAGGTGTTATTTTTAAAGTATTTAATCTAAACTGCTGTCATGTTATTACAGTCACTTCCATTCAGAGAATTTTGGAATCTCAAGATACCTATTTTAATGCGGTTTAATAAATGTCTCTCTATTTTAAATGATTAATCTAGCTCATAAACGTACCAGCCAATACTGGAAGGAGAGTAAGTTGCTAAAGTTAGGTTCTTAATGCCATATTTAGACACCTAAATAGATGGCCTGCTTTTTCAGAAGTGCTGAGTGCTTTGCAGCTCATGCTAAACTTGAAGGCACTGGGAATATCTAGCTGCTAAGTGCTCTTAGACTTGAGATTTATTTAGTTGCCCAGAGTTATAAGCTAAGCTTTACCAGTTGATTTTGCTAATGCAATACCTACAATAGAACAGTGTCTTCAGGTTTTCTAATGCAATAGATTAATTATCTGGGACTAATTAAATATGATTGAAGTAATGAATTGGCCAAAAGTTGGTGGGGCTTACAACGCAAATGTTTTTATAACATTTTCTGAACTAAGAATTTTCACCTAACCTTAAAATTTG